TGATTTGATAGTAATGATTAGTAATAATGAAATTATTATTAATATTTAATGATTTGATATTAATGATTTAGTAATGATTAGTAATAATAAAATTATTATTAATTTTTAATGATTTGATAGTAATAATTAGTAATAATGAAATTATAATTAATTTTTAATGATTTGATAGTAATGATTAGTAATGATTAATAATAATGAAATTATTATTAATTTTTAATGATTTGATAGTAATGATTAGTAATAATAAAATTATTATTAATTTTTAATGATTTGATAGTAATGATTAGTAATGATTAGTAATGATTAGTAATAATAAAATTATTATTAATATTTAATGATTTGATATTAATGATTTAGTAATGATCAGTAATAATGAAATTATTATTAATTTTTAATGATTTGATAGTAATGATTAGTAATAATGAAATTATTATTAATTTTTAATGATTTGATAGTAATGATTTAGTAATGATTAGTAATAATGAAATTATTATTAATTTTTAATGATTTGATAGTAATGATTAATAATAATGAAATTATTATTAATTTTTAATGATTTAATAGTAATGATTATTAATAATGAAATTATTATTAATATTTAATGATTTGATATTAATGATTTAGTAATGATTAGTAATAATGAAATTATTATTAAATTTTAATGATCTGATAGTAATGATTAGTAATGATTAGTAATAATAATTTATTATTAATATTTAATGATTTGATATTAATGATTTAGTAATGATTTGATAGTAATGATTTACGACTTGAACAATGAACAATGTTTGGTTCAATTAACCATATTTTCGTTACATAACTAGTAATGAAATTATAATAATGATTTGATACTAAAAATCATTATAAATATGTCAAATTTGTTAAGGTTTGAAAAAACTAGTCTAATGTCAATATTAAATTTGTAACAAATAACAAACTAGTTTACAATTGTTGTCGATATCGGGGTGTTGTTGAATGATAATGTTGGGGCGGACGTCTGATGCGTTATGGCCGTTGCGGTTGCTCAGGAGTATGGTACCCATCCTCCTCATTCGTTGGGGGCATTTTAACTGACATGTGTTCAAATTCATACGTCGACGAAAACATGGGAGAGCAGATGGATGCATCAGGCTGTACAAACTCTGGTATGTATGCATCGTCGAACGGTTGTGGTGCGCTATTATCCACATCGGTCATTTCCGCTTAAGGTTGTTGAGATGAACTCCCACTCTCACTTGGTAGAGAGTATTCAGCTTTACCAAATCTTTTCTTAAACCTAAAAAATTGTCGCCTCTCTACAATTGTTGTCAAGAATGGCTTTCCATTATCCAAAAAATAAGCAAGGTAAGCCGAAGTCTCAAAATTAAAGTCGTCGTCTTGAATGTCGTCAAGAGTTGGCATGAATGAAGCCCTATTGTTCCAAGCATTAATGTAGGTTGCATACTTCTCAACCCAATTAACATTTTCTTTAAGACGACCATCAAATCTGTGCAGCTGGTCATGCGTCTCAACCCAATTCACCTGACGACGACCATCTAAGATTTGGAGGAGGTCATGATCCCATGGACTCCGCGGAATAGGTTGGTGGAAGTGGAATTGCCTCAACACTCTATCCCCAAATTGGATCTCAACAAACGCAAAATTGATCAATGGTGTAACAACACACCAATATTGAAACCCATCTAAAATATCGTGCGGCATCAACGCAAGTATTTCTTCATTCATGTATGGTCTCCAATTAAACTGTAAAATTACAAAAACAATAAAATTTATTTAAATCAAATAATATAGTTAATTTAAATAATAATTAAAAATAACAGAGTATACATACCTCCTTTTTTGCCTTAATGTCGATCTTCAGCCTGAACTCTTTAATGTTGTTGTGCACCAACCCCGTGCCTTCAATTTTATGCCTCCATCTGTATATCAATCAAAACAAAAATATGGTCATTTTTATTTTATAATTAATATTTTATATTAAAATAGAGAATTCATATTACCTTCCGGCAAGCGGAAAGTCAACCGCAGTCCGACTAATCGGTGTCAGAAACGGAAGTCTATAACAAGCCCATGACTGTAGCAGCAACAGACATCCACCAATTTTTGCTGTATTATTATCATTCACGACTAATGACGCCTTGCACATCTCACGATACAAGAACGCCAATATCGCCGATCCCCAGCTATATTGCCTACTATTCTCAAAATTTCTTAAAAAAGAAGATATTGAGTGTGAACATAACTACCGGATTTATCCGGCATTAAAATACCCCCAATCAATTGTAATATATATGCTCGTGTTGCATATATGATTTCGTGCTCCGTACTATTTGGTTGAAGCTGAAATTCATTCTTCAACCATGACAACCTCACACGCCACCCTTTACACTCTGGTGGTACGAGCGTTTTCCCAAGAAACAAGCTGCAAAGTTGTGCCACATTATTAAACTCATGTGACATTACCACTGGCATCCCATTTGTTTGGACCCCGAGTTGCAATGCCACATCCTCCAGAGTTATCGTACATTCGCCACACGGCAAATGAAACGTGTGCGTTTCTGGTCTCCAACGCTCAATCAAGGCACTGATCAAACCTGTGACCAACTTGTAATCTCGCACAAATGTTACATACCAAAATCCAGCCTCCTGCAAGTTTTCTTCTATCAATCTGTGTGGCTTGGGCATCTTATGTAGCCGAAGACGAAGGACTCGCTGCTCGTCCTCCTGCAATTAAATATTTCAAAAACTTTATCACAATCATAAAATAATATTCAAATATTTTAATTATAATTCATTAAACAAATATTTTATTCACCATTATTCCCAAATGACTTGAAATATGTTCATTGTCAAGTCTCAGCAGTGGAATTTGATCAGCCATTGGAATGAATCTGTAAAAAAAGTAAACAACAATATTTAAAAATCCATTTAATATAACTAATATAATCTAACTAACTAACTATTTTACAACACAACAAAAAAATTTAATATAATAACTTATAATATATTAAACTAATATACTAACAAACTAAACTTTTTAAAATATAAGTTAAACGTAAATTTTCCCTTAAACAATTAATAAACTATTCTTTAATATAAATTAAACTAATAAATGATTTTTAATTATAATTTACTACTAAAAAACTAATTAACTAATTTTTTTATGTAATATAAATTCAACAAACAAATATAACTTAACTATTTAACTAACACAAACTAATTACATATTTTTTATATATAACTAACGACTAACAAACTAACTAAATTTTTTTATTAATATGTAACTATCAAACATGCTAATTAAATAATTTTTTATTTCTATATGATATAACTTAAACTAACAATAATATAACTTAAACTAACAACTAATTAACTAATTTTTGTTTTACCCTAATTATAATAAACTAATTAACTAATAATTTATAACAATAAACTAATTTAAATAATTATTCTTTTATATAACTTAAACTAATAAACTATTTTTTATTATAATAAAACTTAAACTACTAATAAACTAATTTTTTATATAATATAAATTCAACAACCAAAATATAACTTAACTATTTAATTAACTACAAACTAATTAAATATTAGACTAACTAACACACTAATTAATTATTTTTTAATATATAACCATCAAACAAACAAATTAAATAATTAATTAAAATTTTGTTTTAACTTAAACCATAAACTAACAAACTAACAATTTAAAATAATAAACTAATTAAAATAATTAAAAAAAACTTACCTCGATGTTGTGCTCTCCCTTTCTTCTTCCTCCTCTTTTCTCTGCTATCTTCTCCTTTGCTATTTTCTCCCTTTCTTTCTCTCTTAATTGTTTCACTCATTAACCCCATCCATCCAATATATAATACAACAACCGGGCATACTTTGCTTCAATTATAGGTGGCCGAGTCATTCACGTTCACGGGCTGCAATAATGCAGCAATAAGTGCTGCAATAATGCAGCTGATTTCACGTTGCATGGGAGCAGAGGTAGCAGAGCACGTGAGAGCTTGGGGCGAAGGCATAGGTCGTTGGGATCCCTTGGAGACCTACAATGTCGCTGGGATGCCCTGGCGACCTACAATGTCGCTGGGATTCCCTGGCGACCTACCCACGTTGCCATGCTGACTTGCCATGCTGCCACCAGACCCATGCCACGTTGCCATGCCGCCATGCACAGCCATGCAGAGACTCCAAGCTCGCCCAGACCCATGCCACGTTGCCATGCCGCCATGCACAGCCATGCAGAGACTCCAAGCTCGCCCGGATGCCATGGCGACCTCCAAGCTCGCCCGGATACCATGGCGACCTACGGCAACACTGTGGAGATCACTCCATTTGAGCAATTAATCTGGGGAAATCATTATTTCGTGAAATAAAGAATTTGAGAGCATTATCTCGTTAATTTTATCTCAATAAAATCATTCTTCAACCGAATTAAAACAGATTAATGGTTGTCATTAACTCGAAACTTGAATTAACAGTATATATAAGCACGTTGATGGCATATAATAATATCACAATGATACATAGGGCAATTAAATAAAGAGACACGTTGATGGCATCAAATCTCGAAGTCGTTTAAGAGAAAGCAAAGCTTATAAATACAGTGTTTCAATGCCCTAGTTTTCATCATCTGAACCAGCAAAGTATTACTTTTTGCGAAAATCAAGATGAAAGTTGGTATTATTTCAAAGGAAATGGTTAAGCCATCTTCGCCGGAAGTTTATCGCCGGAAGCCATTCTCGTTGTCATTGTTGGATCAATTCACGCCGGCACAGTACGTGCCATTCATCTTGTTTTACAACAAACCCGATGGTTCCCGTTTCGGCAACACTGCACGGATCTTGGCCACGTTAAAGGAATCGGTGACGAAAGCCATGGAACAGTTTTACCCTTTGTGTGGTCGGACGGCCGACAACCTCTGCATCAGTTGCTACGACAAAGGCATGCCGTATGTGGTAGCCAGGGTCGAAGCTCGGTAGTCGGATTTCATGGCGTCCACGGAGATAGAGCTGTGGAACCAGTTGCTGCCGTGCCAATGCTATTGCGTTGTCCCGACTTCAACGTCGCCCCAGACGGCGATTCAAGTCACCGTGTTCGGGTGCGGCGGGATCGCCATCGCCTTCTGTGGCTCTCACAAGCTCATAGACGGGACAACGGGGTCGGCTTTCATTAAAACTTGGGCTTCTTTCAACCGAGGCTCCAACGGAGAATTACGTAATCCCGATGTGTTAGACGCGGCGTCGCGGTTGTTCCCTCCGATGGAGTCGATCCCTCAAGACCACTTGTCTTTAACCGAAACGCTTTGGTTCCGAGAAGGGTGGCACACGACCAAGTCATTCTCGTTCCATGACGATGCCATAGCCACCCTAAAGCTCAAAGCCAAAAGCAAACGCCTCGAGCACCCAACACGAAACGTAGCCCTCACAGCATTCATATGGAAACACGCCATGTTGGCTACTAGAGCCGCATCGGGACGTTCGAGACCCACGGTGTTAACCCAATCGGTGAATCTCCGACCGATGCTGAATTTACCCGAACATGCAATCGGAAACCTGGTTTGGTTCGTGATCTCTTCGTATAACCCGAGTGCCACCGCCACAGACATCGAGTTGGACCACTTGGCCTATTTGGTGAAAGACGCATTGGACGTTTCCAAAGCTCAAATCTCACTTTTACAAAGCGGGGATGTGTTGAAAGCCGTGACGGAACTGTCGTAACCGGTTTTCGTCCGGGCACGAAATATTTACTTGGCGGTGAAATTGATGTGAATAAATGGTTTTGGAAATAATTTAGGAGTCGCCATCGGCCTTTTGGGTCAGGTAGGTCGAATACCTAAAAAATATCTTTTAAAAGAGTTTTTAAGAAAACATCAATTAAAAGATAAACTGATCTGCGTTTTAACCAAAAATTCGTTCTTTTTAATAATAAAAAGGGATTCGTGGTCGGTTACGTTTAGGGAAGGATTAGCACCCCTACAACGCCCAAAATTGGTACTTTTTAATTATAAATTGTCTCTAGTATTAAAATTAAAAATTCAAAAATATATTTAATTTATAATCATATTATTTCAAAATTATATAAATAATATTTATTTATTTATTTAAAATATTAGAAAAGAACTTCTAGGTGCCTTAAGACAGCTCTTTTCTTTGATATTAATAAAATTGATTTTAAATAAAATTAAATAATAATTTTTAATAATATTTAATTTTAAAATACCAGAATAGGACATCCAGTTATATTAAGACTGTCCTTTTCTTCGATATTGAAAAATATTAAAATAATTTATTTTAAAAATATAAATTATTATTATCATATATATTTATGACTATATAATAATAGAAAAATATTTAATATATAAACAATTAAAACAATAAAAATACAATTAGAACGATATATTCAAAAGCAATAAAATAAATGAAAACATTTAAAATTAGTGACTAAATTATAGTAAAATTAAAATTAAAAACCTAATTCATAATTAATCAAAATTATAGGGTTTAAACATGTTATTTTCTTATTTTATTAATTTAGTGACTAAAATAAAACTATATAAAATTCGGATAATAAATTAAAATAAATTAAAAAAAATAAAATCGGTATTAAAATAATAATTAATAAACCATGAGGGACTAAATTTGATATTTACCTAAATATATATATATATATATATATATATATATTCTGATAAGGACTAAATTAAAATAAAATAAAATTAGAAGACTAAATTAAAATAATCAAAAACTACTTTCAGTGACTAAATCGTAAGGATTACAAACTATAGTGATTGCAGAAATGGTTTACCCATGATGGAAATTACACAGATACCCCTCCCCAAAACGACGTCGTTTGGAGAGGAGTTTAAATATTCAAAATGGCCGGCCCTACGGGCCAAATTTCTCATTTCTGTTTCTCTTCTTCTCTCTCTCAAAAATAACTCTCTCCCTTCTCTCTAGTTTCTCTCAACAGAGAGATAGCCGGCCGTTGACCACCACCATCGCCGGCCACCGTGAGCGGTGGCCGGAACTCCCAAATACCCCCAAACTAAAGCTATGAATACCCTAAGACCGATTCCAAACTTCTTTTCTTCTAAAAAGCTGTAAAATTACCTAGATCTATGGAAATACGTTCGGTATTTCGGCGTCTTTAGTGGCTCGTGTAGGTTCCGATGGCCGTGCTCCTTCCTCGGTAAATGCTTCTCTTCTCTTTTCTCTTAGTTTTTTTTTTCTTTTGGTTTCTGTTGATGTGTTCCTCGTTACTGCATCTCTCGCGTTTTTTGTTGTGGCTGTCTTCTTCCTTTTTTTTTTCTTGCAGGTTCAGTGGTGGCTTTTATAGCCACCACAGTGTACTCCTCGGACCGGTTCCAGTGGAGACTTCTGGTGAGTCACCATAGCTGTGTGGTGACTCACCCCATAGCTGTGACATGTGGGGAGCAGCTGGCCTTCTGGAGACTTCTGGCGAGGTCATCGTGGCACTGAAGCGTCGGCAAGGCGGCTGGAACTCACTGGAACTTTGGAGCGGCGGCTGGGACGTGGCTATGTAGAAACTAGGGTTTAGAAACCCTAGCTGCATTGTTGGACCTCCTGTGGACCGTTGGATCTCTCAGATCCAACGGCTGTGATGATGAGGCGGCTAGAGATGAATGAAAACCCTAATTGGGTTTAGGGTTTGGGCTTGTAAAATGGGCCTGATTATTTGGGTTTGTAATAATTATTTAATAATAATAATAATAATAATAATAATAATATTTATAATAACAATAATTTTAATTTTAATAATAATAATTTAAGTAAAATGAAAAATTAGTGTTCACAGCTGCCCCTCTTTGCTCATTCTTGTGTTAACAAGAATAGAGCAAAGACGGAAAAACAATAATTTTTCATTTGACTTCTTTTAAGTAAGACTGAAATGTTGAAAACATCATTCCAGAGGTCTTAAAAACATCATGCATTGCAGGACTTACAGATGACCCGAAGGATTTGAAAACATCAAAAAGCTCCCGAAGGCTTTTTGGAAACATCATGCACTGAAGGGCTTACAGATGACCCGAAGGCTTTGAAAACATCAAAAAGCTCCCGAAGGCTTTTTGGAAACATCATGCACTGAAGGGCTTACAGATGACCCGAAGGCTTTGAAAACATCAAAAAGCTCCCGAAGGCTTTTTGGAAACATCATGCACTGAAGGGCTTACAGATGACCCGAAGGCTTTGAAAACATCAAAAAGTTCCCGAAGGCTTTTTGGAAACATCATGCACTGAAGGGCTTACAGATGACCCGAAGGCTTTGAAAACATCAAAAAGCTCCCGAAGGCTTTTTGGAAACATCATGTACTGAAGGGCTTACAGATGACCCGAAGGCTTTGAAAACATCAAAAAGCTCCCGAAGGCTTTTTGGAAACATCATGCACTGAAGGGCTTACAGATGACCCGAAGGCTTTGAAACATCAAAAAGCTCCCGAAGGCTTTTTGGAAACATCATGCACTGAAGGGCTTACAGATGACCCGAAGGCTTTGAAAACATCAAAAAGTTCCCGAAGGCTTTTTGGAAACATCATGCACTGAAGGGCTTACAGATGACCCGAAGGCTTTGAAAACATCAAAAAGCTCCCGAAGGCTTTTTGGAAACATCATGCACTGAAGGGCTTACAGATGACCCGAAGGCTTTAAAAACATCAAAAAGCTCCTGAAGGCTTTGAAAACATCAAAAAGCTCCCGAATGCTTTTTGGAAACATCATGCACTGAAGGACTTACAGATGTGGGAAATAGTTTACTAAGTAAGAAACTATGGAAATTGTTTTCTTACTATTCAACAATTTCATTTTCAGAAAAGATTGAATGAGAAACTATGGAAATCGTTTTCTCATTATTTTTCAATATAACATGTTGATTGGGTAACATGCTCCAATCTCAAAATAATGCTCATTTTTGTGGATTACGTCCATCTATTCTTCAGATGTTTGCGTGATTCTTGTATTTACGGTTTTGAATACCTTCTTCTTGTAAGGTATTTCTTACCATGAATCTTCTTGTTCTTCCGAAGATCTGTAAAACTTCATTTTTTAATACACTCAGATGTATCAATGTAATGCATTGTCTATTGTGCAAATGATGTTCTTATGAATGCATGAATGTTGATGCAATCTTCATTTGACTTCAAAGTGGTAAACTTGGTCTTCCTTCACTACATCATTTATTGCCAGGGTTACCTCTGGATATCAGTGTAGCAACTTATGCTATCAAGCTTGCATTTCTACAGAATCATCTGATCAACTTGTATCGTGTTGCCTTCTTTGCTTCATTTAAGTCTTAGAAGAAATGTTTCACTTGTGGAACTCTTGTCGTAGTCAAAATTATGACCCTGATGCCCCATTTTGTCTTGGATAAAACCAACTTTATTTGCTTGGACTTGTGTAGAAATCCCATAAAGCTTTCATCTTTGAAAAGAGAATCTATCATCTTTAAAAAGAGAATCTATCATCTTTGAAGAATGTAGATGTAGATATGCCTGACTCAGCAGGGATTAATTAGGAGAGTAGAGCCTGTTCTAATTTGACTCTTGAAACATATCACAAGGAAGATTTTTTCCAATTCCTTTCATGTCTCCACATATAATCAGATCTCGAATAAGGCAACTTGGACCATATCATGTCGAGATGCTTAACAACAACTTGTCGTTCAACCTTAGTTGGCTCCACTAGTTTCTTGTTGTCAAAATTTTCAGCTCTCCTTCTGTGGAAAGAAGTCTTCATTATATCTCACTTTTAATCTTGAAGTTGAAGAAGACAAAATTCATCTTGGGTCAATAAATGGAAACCATATGATTGCAACACTGGTTCAACACCATAATCACTGGTTCATAAAACATTTGACAACACATTCATCATCTCATGTGGCTTCTGTTTGGATTGTCGGTCAAGAAACTTCTTTGCATAGTGTTTAAAACTTTTGTATAATGTCCCAAGACCATTTGAGAACAAAACTCCATGGGGATTCAAGTGTGATGTTGGTATGACCAAAAAGTTGGTCAATTTCTTAAGATATGCTAGTGTTGAATTGAATAGGAGACACTAACTGATCTTGATATCATCTCAGGCAAAGACAAATGTGATACTGATCACATTTTCTTCTATAATGACCTTTGTAGGAAGTAGAAACACATCAACTGTAGGATCAATGTACATAAAGCTATCCGTGGAATTTTTGCAGCTGGGGATGAAATACAAATGATAAAACCAAAATAGATGAAAACTCAGTTCATCTTGGCTAGCAATGATGATCCCAAATAACAACGGGAATAACAGTAATATAAGTGAGAGTCGAGTCTCCCTTTTCAATGTCATCAAGGACGCAAAAACTGATGTGAAAAATAGCTTCATAATCTCAATAGTATGGTTGAAACTATTTGCTAGGAATCTCAAAGAAATATTTTCAGTTATTACCGACACACAGAAGGCCAAATTCAATACTGAGATCTTAAGGAACTGAACCCTGGATCGAGTAGTCTGCCTGAGGATCATCTTTATTTATGCAACCGTAATGTAGTTTATCAAAGAACACACTGTCATACGGTTAAGAATATTAGGTTTTTGAAAACATACTTGATGAGTAACATTTGTTCAACAACATGATCATAATGTAACTGTCTGATGAACGAAGCAATTATGTATAGTCAGTTCGACTGTCACTGTTGCACCATTTTCATTCTTCATATCTTTCT